TATGAGGAATCGCTTGAGAAGTTTTTAAACTTAAAAATATACATGTCTCCTGAACACCTGGTCTGATGGATGTTTTGCAGAGTAGGTGTATCGACTCCATTAAACACAAATAAATGTTACAATTGTCCCTGATCATTATAGGTATTTGTGTATATCGATGATTAATAAAATCACTTCCGGGTTTATGTGCCTGCCTCGAGAAAATATTCCAGATGGAATTGATTATCTGTCTAGCAAAACATCATCATATACTACGAAATTATTAATACATCCATTGAGAGGACCTACAGATGGAGCATCATCGATATTGATGATAAAATAAATAAAAAAAACTTCATTACCGTCTTCGTCCAACAATTTTGCATTTTCAATAAAATCATTAATCACGTCGTAGCATAGCTGATTATCTACAGATGGTGACACTATATACAACTTATTTCGCTTGAGCATTATCATTATCAGTTTTAGCTAGAATTGCGTCTTACCAGACAGGAACAAAAAGAGTGAACAGACCACTTTTTAGAGAAATCTTTTGTTTAAAAAAATAAAGATTCATACGACAACGAAACCACAAGGCCTCTAACTGTCTGTGATCTATCTCTCTTTAACCAGGTTAGCTCATTTTTTATTATTTATCTTAGAAGTTTGTGTTTTCAAATTTGTATGCGTCCTCGTTTAACGACCAGGGAATTCTCTTTTGGTAGTCAACCTCCCTGCTGCTGTCTCTCTCAACCAAAAATTTAATCGAGACATACAAGATACATCGTCCGAGGGTCATGTAAATTTATCGTAATAAATCCATGAGGAATCGCTTGAGAAGTTCTTAAACTTAATATTCATGTCTCCTGAACACCAGGTCTGGTGGATGTTTTGCATAGTATGTGTATCGACTCCATTAAGCACAACAAAAATATTATTTTAGGTATTTGTGTATATCGATGACTAAATAAAACCACTTCCTGGTTTGTGTGCATGCGTCGAGAAAATATTCCAGATGAATTTGATAATCTGTCTAGCAAAATGTCATCATATACTACGAAATTATTAATACATCCATTGAGATGATCATCAATATCGATGATAAAATAAAAATAAAAACATCATTACCGTCTTCGTCCATCAAATTATCACGTCGTAGCATAGCTGATTATCTACAGATGGTGACACTAAATACAAATTATTCCGGTTGAGCCTTCTCATTATCAGTTTAAGCTAGAATTGCGTCTTACCAGACCCAGATGGACCTATCATAATGGCTCTAACAGAATATGGCAGTGCTGAATGATGCTTGAGTGGGTCATGCTTTCGGGTCGCTGAGAAATCGGTGATATCCATGTCGTAGAAATATATAATAATTATTAGTTCATATTGTGTTCAATGCAGAGAACACCCACCCACAAGTGTATTGAAAACAATAACAACGAGGAATAAAAAGCGTGCGCTTACATGCAATAGTGAGAAATGTGGTACAAGCGAAAACAATTATATATCTAATATAACAGGCGGAGAAATCTATGCTTCACTGGGAAAATTACTAGGGGCTCCATAGATGAAGTATCCTGGTGAGAAGCATCTTTATATCCTGACACCTGATTTAAGACCAACCATGACTTGGAGTGTATCCAATAATTGCGATTGATCAAGAGTGCCATGTTTATGATGTCGTGTATAAACATTAAGACTTACAACAACGACCTATTGGAGACGTGAAGATGGTACACACGTTAAAGTTTGTAGAAAAATAAATCTATCGCAGAATCACTTGCTAATTTGCTGGTAAAAGATAGTGCTACTGACTGGTAATTAGTCGGTAAGATCCATGGAAGACCTGCAATTTACAGACCAGACTCAACTGCTCTCCAACGTGGATTTGTACGTGAACATTTACAAGTAATTCATGAAGATACACAGTTACCACTTATGTGAATCCACGATGCCAGCGCCCTACGATGATTACACTCAAGACAGGTCTGTATCACTTTTTCGCGTGTATGAACAAGACCACTATTAATTCTATCTACGGTAAATTGTCGTGGGTCATTAGCAGAATACTGTCACAACATCATTTTGTTCTTTAAGCGTCATGATAAACTTAACTTTGAGGTCAAAGAAGCGCTTACCTTTTTTGTCAGATCGCTGGTAACCAGCTACATATTTCCTTACTGTATCGTCGCAACTGCTAGCAGAAGTTTCCTGAGTCATGATACCCTAACCCCCCCGTACCTGATGCATTCTTCTGACTCTCGACACCGCTAGATAAATTAAATCTGACCATTCGATCATCGACAATCCACATATTTATATCAGAAATAGTTAATCCTTGTGACGAATTAATCGTTATAGCGTGTCCTAGAGTCAGACGAGTTTCGTCCATCGTTAACGCGCTCTTAACAACACCCACATAAACCAAAACAATATCCTTTAATACAAGATTTTGTTATCTTGGCTCTACCAAGCGTCCATGAACCTCAACTTCAATATTTTATTTGCATGTACCTGCTGAGGGATAACACAATGGCACATATACATATGTGACAGAAAGAATGGTTGCTAAAGTATATCACGAATTATCTTCCGTCTTGAAGCTATCAAATCAGCAGGCTTCCAAAATTCCAAAAATCACTCATCATAGTCTCTGGAATTACTTCAAGCATTATATTACATCTTACATTGAGTTTTATTTGGCTACACTCTGATTAAATTTTTCAAACTCTTTCATCGGTTCATCAATAGCTCCACGATCATAAGTTATCTCCTCATAATAATCTACGAACCTTTTCAACATTTAATGCGGAGATGATCCAGCCAAGGGTGTTGGATCACCATGATCGTCACACATAATAATAGCAATATGTCTCATCAGCAACGAATCAAAAATAATGCCGTGCAAATCTTATCCGAAAATCCAGTTATATCAAAATCTGGTAAAGGTCATCGTGTGTATTGGATGTCCCAATATTTTTAAAATACTCACAACACTCTAAAATTCCAATTAAAATTCCAGGATAAAGGGCAACCATATCAACTGAGATAAAATAATTAATAATTGTCCATAACCGCTTGTTATTCATTGTAGCATTGACGTCGTGCATATCCTATATGTTGACCACACATGCGCCGCACCATCGTTTCCAAATTAGATCTTGGCTTCACATATACGATTGATTAAAGGCAGCATCAACTAGAAAACTATCTGGTTAGAGTTTCACGCATCTGTTTTCTAGAAATAAAATTACTTTTTAAACAAATAATGATAATATTAATTAATATTAATATATAAGTGGAGCAAGGAAGTTGTAAATTATTAGGCATCTTGTTCAGGTATCTTCAAAAATTGTAGACAAGAAAACAGTCGGTTTTGTCAATAATGTTGTTTATCTAATATTCTTCGCTAAGCGGGTAAATATATCTTAAACATACATTTGTGTACGAGTGTTTTGATGGAGTAATCGACGATATTTCTCTGTGTGATCATATTAATTCAGATTCAAATAACAATTTCTTCAAATATTTTTGAGCTATTAAAAATAATCTGAATTGCATATTTGGAGGTACTGGGAAACATGATAAATTTTCAAAAGCAGCTTTATCCGTAGATACAGATACAGACAAATAAATAGAGTTTCCATCAATAAATACAGATGGCAAATATTTTGATATTGTCACTCCTTGGGTATAACATCTTGCAAATAATATAACCAAATCGGCGTATTTAGAAACGTATAAATAAAACTAGAATTTCAGTATCTCTTGACTGTGTTCACCGCTCTTGAATCTAGTTTAGCTAAGTTGAAAGGTATGTAAGATCAAGGGAGATAACTCTGTCAAGCAAAGGTTTTCTCTAGCAAAGAAAATAAAGAGTAGCTTAGCTTGTGGCTGAGTAATGTATGAAGACCAAGGATTTTTTATGGTATGGCTCTTTTCTACATTTAGATATATATATTTTTTAAATAATTTCATCAAGATAGATTTACCGTAGATTTTATAGCTGAAATAAATTCATTGAATCTCAACAACAAATCCATACATAAACAGAACTCAAATCAAGTTTCATGTATTTGTGATTTATAATCTGACATTCATTTAATTTTTTCTTAGTTTGTCGTAACTAACACTATCTTCATTTTCAAGTTCACTTCTTGCACTGATTCTAAGTTAACTTCTTTCCTTGGAATAATGGATATCCTTTATACTGGTAAAATTGTCTGCTATACGTAACTTGATAATTTCTGAAACATGTAAATAGTAACAACGATCCGTGTGGCGAGCTGTCAAGGCAGTGAATTCTCATGTTCGAGTTCAAAATTTCTAATCCCGTAACTGACAAATTTATCGAAGGTACCGATAATCACAATTGGCATAATAGTTGTGAGATCCAAAACAAGCAGAAATACAATTCATGCACACCTTATACCATGTTGATTAAAGTGGTGTGTGCTTAAATGCATACCCCTGGTTTTAATTCGGGGAAGATGGTCATGAAATTTAAAAATTATTTGAAAACCTATGAACATCTTCGCTTAGATCACGCTCTCGACCTACTGGAATGTCATTTGGTAATCAAGAGGTTCACAAGGGGGTAGTGTCTATGGATGAAGAAGCCCCCACAAATATGCAGTAAGAGTGATGAGTTCTCATTCACATGAAGGGTGTCCCATTAAAAGACATTTAGAAAGAATGTCAGCATGGGCCTCATCAATGGTATCCAATAAAATGAACTGGAAACCAGAGCCTAATTGAAGGTTTCCCCAAAACCAATGTGTGTGTATGTGTATGTGTGATTTTTGTGTAGCTTGAACAATTTTTCAGTCATATCGCTACGATTCTGCAGTATGGCAGTTTATAGTGATGTCTAGCGTTGGGGCATCATACCGCAGACATGTAACATGATGTCCCACCCAGTCACATTATCCTGCACAAGGCCGGCCAGTCCAGATACTAATCTATTAATGCTGAGGGCCAAGTGAGACAGCTGCTATTACCATTTTGTAAGACTGGTATGACTCGGCCGAGGATCAAACCCACGACCTCCCGCATCCAAAGCGGATACTGTAACCACTAAGCCATCGGAGAAGTCCCCAATAAAGAAATGTCATCCAGAAAGCAAAGTTTCAAAGGCAAGTACTGGCAAATGAAGAAGGGACCCCATGGAATGGCAAAATTTTGGCACGTGAAGGTGACCTCATTTAACGGTAATAGCTCATAATTTCTAGCGTTTATCTTTCATTTTAAACAAATATTTATCATATAAATAATTCCACAAATATGAATTCAGTTATTTCTGAGATTAAAAATTTATATAATGATGATATAGAATTATCAATTTATTTGGATCCTGAAAAAATCACAAATGGACTTGAAGTGCTATAGGAAAGGGATACATTCTAATAGCCGAAAAAGGTTTATTAAATTACTCCTGCAAGTGATGATGCAGCCGTTACTTTATGCTGAGAAAGTTAGATCATAGTTATGTATGTATGTATGTATGTATGTATGTATGTATGTATGTATGTATGTATGTATGTATGTATGTATGTATGTATGTATGTATGTATGTATGTATGTATGTATGTATGTATGTATGTATGTATGTATGTATGTATGTATGTATGTATGTATGTATGTATGCATGCATGCATGCATGCATGCATGCATGCATGCATGCATGCATGCATGCATGCATGCATGCATGTATGTATGTATGTATGTATGTATGTATGTATGTATGTATGTATGTGTGCCTGCGTGTATTTATGTGTATGAATACATGGATACTCATAATACCAGATAAATTAATTCGACTCCAGTTACGTTATAGAAGATATAATAGATATACAAACTTCCATTTTTGCAAGAAAGAGGTATATGAGCTCATACCATATAATTAAATGCCGATTTACAGTTCCGAAAGAGAGACGACAATGGGTAGAGATGTAAAAACTCCGCAAAGAATATATTAAAGAGATAATAAAGGTTAAAATATAACGAAGGGTTAAAATATATTGGAAAAACTCATTACCAGTAACCGTGCAATATTTTGTCCTGATTAGAGTAGATAACGTTTTGTAATTTATTTCACATAACACATCATCGTTTCTTCTTTTATATCAAGTCTACCACCACTCATTGATGGGCTTGATATTAGGATGTTTGTGGAAATGTTACTCAGAGTATCAATGTGAGTTCACATTCAGCATATAGATTTACAGACTATTTGAGCATTTGTCTTTGAGATTTCGGATGCTAACAGGCTGATGCGTCAAATTCAAGGGTTTTCGAGACTTTATGTGTGTCTGTTCAAATAATATGAATCTTACGTTTGAAAGCTTTCAATGCAGTTCAAAGATTTTACTATAGTTGTACTTTATCCAGAGAAAATGGAACCTTTACATATAGGTCCATGTAGATGGCACCAAGTTGTGGCAAGATAACATCAGCTGAGTGATTGTCTCAAACCTGTGCAATCCGTGAAGCCACGACAAGAGACCTATACTTATTTGCATTTATTTTGAAAACGAAAGGATATGACGTTAAAAGTAGCGAATGTTAGATATAATTTTGGAGTTTATTGATTACCAAGGCAGTGATATTATAATGGTACAGCAATTAAATGATGTAAGTTGTGGCTTCTAGATGAGGCCAGTTTGTTTGCAATTTCGCGTCTCTTAGTGATTGTCCATTTACCTCATTATAAATGATTTATGAAGATGTTCCAATGCTCTTAACATATTTTGCGTCAATTGGTCTGGCATACGCTGAAGCGACTTACAAGCGGATCCGCGCTCAATCCAGGCATATTAAAGTTCAGGCTATATTATAATCCCTTATTACCGAAGTAAAACTTTCGGTTGAGTTCAAGATATGAAACATTTTTCGTCAATTGATCTGGCATATAATGATAAAGATTGCAATCGGATCTTTTCTTATTCTAGGCATATTCAAGTTCAGGCGATATTATCATCCTTTATAACCGTAGTAAGACTTTTGGTTGAGTTGACGATATAAAATATATTTTGTTTCAATTGATTTAGTATATAATGATAAAGATTGCAATCGGAACTTTTCTCATTCCAGGCATAGTGACGTTCAGGCTATATTATAATCCTTTATAACCGGAGTAAGACTTTCAGTTGAGTTCACGATATATTTGCAATGAATTGTATTAATTTCAGGTCATGCTGACATATTCCCCTGGGATATTTAATATACCAAAGGAAAGTCAAATTTAAGCTCTACGCGGCATGCAAAGTCAATGATCAATATAAGGTTTATAACATCATATATTCTGTGGAATTGGCAGAAGTGAAATCCAAAGGTCAAAATTAATAAAATGTCTGACCAATTTTGTTGTGATATTTCGGATGTGTATTTAAGCATGTATGTAGGTGATGTTCAATGTTATGCATATTATTCCACATCAAAATGTCAGGCAATGACATATAATAAGCTCTACTATCAATAAATAAGGCATTCCATTGTGTTGCTAGTGTTTAAGTTTGAGTTGGAATATTCGCTTGCTGTCCATCTCTATCTTGAGCATAACTTTCAGAAAGGGTGATGCAGAATTTGTTCTGTAATTTCATTGTTTCAAATTATTTGATTGTAAGCTAGGTATGTTGCCTACTAACCATTGGGTGAATAAGATACTTGGTCTGCAGTAATTGTGTGTCGTGATTTGAGATAATCCAATTCAAAAAAGGCTTCTTATTATGAATGATTCTTTAACCAATGCTTGAAGTGTGACTAGTAGGTCAGTTGTGCTTCTCTGGCAACGGAGTCCGCATTGCACGTGGACCTCAGTTTGCTGGATCCAGATACAAGAATAGTCTGCAATTTATAATCTGATATATGGGTTTGAAAAAAAAAACGTTAGTGCTATGGAAATGTCATAATGGTCCTCTCACAGGATTAAGCAGTTTTTTCAAAGTCGCCACTTTTTCAACATTTTTATTGACATTTTTGGTGTCTGGAATTGGTATTATAAAAACTTTACAGAAGTTGATATTGTATATGATTTGGTGCTTCTGACATTTTAATCGACGTGCGCCACAACAGGTTGCAAACAGATTCATCCAGTTGGCTCCTGATATGGCATGCAAGGGGTCACACGAAAGACCTTGTAGGGCGAATTATAATTTGCAAGAAACAGCCACAAATACAACGAGGTGCCCATGATAAAAAAGTTGATCATAGCTAGATCTGAGAACACGTCATCGATTAACCGAGAGAGCGTGTCAATAACAGGGAAGACTTAGGCTTTTGTTGTTTCAAGTTATCTTACAAAGGTTATTTTATGTCGATTACTTGACATTGCAACCGGAAACACATCAAAATTGAAATGAACCATTTTAGTGCGCTGTATCTTGATTACATGATTAGGAACAGGAAATGCTCATAGTATTTCAATCAGCACACTTCCATAAGATGTTTATAATAGATGATATTATTCATTCTCTTTACCTGCCATCTGGTTTTATTTCGTTGTGTGATAAGATGCAAGTAGATCAATGACCATACTTCTGGGTTCTGAACGTGTCCAGTAACGACACTGATTAGCTACTTGATGGTCTGAAACATCATGAAACTTGAACTATCATGGCATGCACGAATTCAGGCATTAAATTCAATGTCATGTCAATCTCTGAAAAATGTGTCACACTTTATACATAGTTATCTACAAATAAAATGTGTGACGATATTCTAAGCATGTGCATGACTAATGCGTTATATTTATTCAAATGGGAGAGTTACAGTGGTAAAACCTATCTTCAGTATGAACTGGTGACGATAATAACAATAATATCCCTATAAGATTTTGTAAATAATTACGATTTTTTGCATGTTGGTCTCTGATGGATGACAATATTGTTTGCTAGACATGTAGATTTTAACAAGATTGTAGCTTATTTCTGTCTTTTTATCCTTCTGTGTTTTGTCACTATTGTCTTTAAACAAATATCTTGCCTATCAGGAAGATCAAGCTTTTATCGGAAATTACTGTCGTTTCTTTCATTTTTTAATCTCTACTTTCCATATATATACTACTTTCAAGTTGAAATAAGCAATTTCTCATGTTTTTAACTGTCTTGAAACGCCATATTTTAACAATATTTTTAATAATCTGTTAAAATGATCAATGCTTTTATTCCAGTATGTACATCCATTAAGGTAGGCGAGATTACACTTTTGTATATTTATGTCTAGTAACGCAATATGAAAAATCGGGCATAATAAGTAAGGCACTCTGGTCTGGTATTCAAATTTACAATATACCATTTTAATAATATCCTTTGTGTTTATATCCATATGTTTCACTACTGGTGTTATGCATTTATATTACTCGTTCTCAGTGAATTCCGTTAGTACAGCATTTTTTTCCAATCCTTGTGCGACTCCCTTTCTAATGATTGGACCGTCCTTATATAAATACAAAGCAGGCCACACAATGTAATCAACATACATGCCAATACGTGTATAGCTTCTAAACTTAGTCATATCAAAAAGGGAGGGAACTTTGTTTCCACCATTACATTCTCCTTCATATCGTGGGTTATCGCCAAAGTCTATATGCATCTCTGGTCTTTTTATGCTCATTAACCAACAGAGACGAATACATCTATCAATATATTTATAAAGACTTTCGTGAAGATTTCCGTGAGGCTGACCATCCACTTGCTGTCTGACATCCTATTTAAATAAGAGAAAACTGTATTAGAAACTCGATACATTAATAAATCATAGGCTCTGCTTAAATCCAACATAGGTGCACACACACATATACATACACACACACACACACATATATATATATATATATATATATATATATATATATATATATATATATATATATATATATATATATATATATATATATATATATATATATATACAATACAGATCATACGCCGAGTAACATCATTTTAGTTAGAGACTTCTACTCTGAATTTTTTTCCAAGGGTGTACTGATAAATTGACAAGATACTGATGTTTATTAATCCGACATACAACATTATTCACTGCAGGAATCTCCAATACAGAATACGTTAATACGTTTTCTGCTGCACACATCAACCA